TAGATAAACCTTGTCATCGCGATTCAAGGAAAACAACTTCAACAGATTTATTTCTAATTTTAACACATGGTAATAGAAAGAAGTTCTAGAGCTGATTAACTTTTCGGCAGCCATCTTGCATTCTGGCGGCCATCTTGGAAGTTTTACATAAATCTTGTCATCGTGATTCCAGGAAAACCACTTAAAGGATTGTCTTCAATTTTTTACATGGTGAGATGTTCTTGAACTGATTAACTTTTCGGCGGTCATCTTGCTTTCTTGCTTTCTGGGCCATCAAGTCCACACTGCTACATGTATGTTTTAGGTACGATCTTGTTCACCATGTGCTTTGTACTTTATACCACAAATATGATTTTGTGTTTATACTTTCCCACAAAAATGATTGTACTGTTTGATAGAACAGACTTCCCTCATAAAGAAAACAGCTTTTATATTGATATACACAGGGGCAAAAGGCACTAAAATGGGGTTACGCAAGGTTGCTTTCTTAAGACAACTTTTCGTATATGGTATCAAATTATTTTTAAAATCTCGATATATTGATAGAAACAGGAGCAAAAGGCACTACGTAAAGTGAGGTTACACAAGGTGATATTCTAAAGATAACGTTTATTATGCTTCTGTAATAATTTGACATAAATGCATATCGTTTATGATTAATCGTCTATATTAATAGAAAAAATTGCAACCGCCGCTTCAATGGGGTAACACAAGGTGATATTCTAAAATATAACCTTTTACTCTGTTTCTGTACTTTATACCACATAAATGTATTTTGTGTTTGACATCAATCGATTATTAGAATAAATAACTGCATTACCTTTCATCAATAAAAAGATTATTGAAAACGTCAAACATTGCACAATGCACAGTGATTTTTTAGAGTGAAATGTATGCCTTATTGGCATTGATCTGAGTATATTACGGAATTGAAGCTCTTTTAAAGTCCGCATCTAAAGTTTGAAAATATTTTTTTATCATTCATTTACTATTTGTCATGACTTAAAAAGTTATTTTAGAGATTTTTGAAAAAAAAATTCATTTCTAAAATATTCAAATTTCCCGCCATTTTTCAAACAAAGTTGAAATTTTTTAATCATCAAATATTTTTCAATGCATTTCAAAAAAATTATCTTTTTAACACCAAAGATTGAACAAAGGACACACTATTTCAATAATAAAATGCCATATTTAATGGGCCATTTCAATGTTTTAGCATATGAAAAATATTTTGAAACATTAGTGATGTCACTTAGGTAGCAAAAACTTTTTGAAAATCTTTTTCGATGTCAATCTTTTCTAAATATGCTAGACTTCAATTATAAACCAATGTTGATTGCCTAATCAGGTTAAAAGGAAGAATATATTATGTTTTAAAATTTTGAAATGCATTCTTCTCGGAACCATTTTAATGCACTGAAAAGTTCATTTCTAGCTTCTTTATTTTTCTTAATTTTTGGCAAAAAAAACATGGGAGGATGAATGCTATGCATTGGTATGAATTGTGGCGAATTAAAAGTTATGTGTGACCACTTTTTGAAATTAAAAAAAAAGTTTCACATATCACACTTTGATAACATTGGGTAGGACTTCAATATAAGCCAAAGTGGTTTAAACTTTAGATGGGGACTTAAAGAGAAAATATATGTATGTGGCCTATATGTATGGACAACTTTTCATTGTGCACCATGTCACGGGGCATTTATAAACACAAAATGCATCTATTATGTGGTATAAAGTACAAACACAGAGTAAACAAGGCACATGGTGAACAATATCGTACCAATAACATAGCAGTGTGGACTTGATGACCCAGAAAGCAAGATGGCCGCCGAAAAGTTCCAGAACTTCTTTCCATGTAACATGTGTAAAAATTTCAAGAAAATGATTTAAGTGGTTTTCCTGGAATAGCAATGACAAGATTTATCTAAAAACGTTCAAGATGGCTGCTAGAATGCAAAATGCCCATCGAAAAATTGATCAGCTGTAGAACTTCTTACCATGTAACATGTGTGAAAATTTGAAGCAAATCTGTTAAAGAGATATTAATGAGACTTCTCCATGGCATTTCTTCTTTATTCCTTTTTGTTTTGAATTTTTTACACCATAACATTATATATAATAAATATCTTTAAAGATATGCTAACCAGATAAGTAGGTCAGTATTACATAATCATGAAATGAATAAGTCTGAAAATACAATTGGTCAGAATGTACTAAAACCTGCTTGAAACCTGAAAACATTGCATGCTCTATTCCACACAATTTGGAGGCTTTTGAAATTCGCAGTAACAATAAATAAGTGCCTGTATATAATCATTGCATAGAAAACACTTCATGTAGTGTTTATCAGATGGTTTTGGTGAATTGATATGACGTAATATTGTTTTTATTTAATTGTTTTGTAGCGCTTCAGTTCAGTTTTTATACAGTTGAAAAAGGATCCAGACAGGATCCGAAACGTCCTGGTTAGTAAAATAAAGGTTGTGAAAAGAAGAAAAATATTTTTGTGAGCATTATTATTGTTTTTGGACACTGTGGATTAAAATATTAAAAATACACACATTCAAAATGATTCAATTAAAACCTAGCCAGTCTGTTCATTGAATCCATTAAGAACGTCTACTAATCCACATGATACATCATAATTAAATTGTTTTTTAAAGCGGATATTTCATACTATAACCCCAAAATATTATAAAACGCAAATGTATTTGTATTTTACTTCACACAGACATATTTGTGTCCGTGAGATAATTATATTACTTGAATTTTTTATTCCCCATTATAAGGTAAACCTATGGCAAATTATACATACCTTCTCACAGCTATGAGCGAGATGATAAAACTGGTCGAGTGATCTTGTTTGAGTTATCTATTCTCCGTAAAAATATCATAGAATGTGTGTTTATAACGTAGCTTTGTGTTTGTAAATCAATGAAGTATGACATACACGGATGAGTAAATATAGATTATTTAAACAGAAGTGCAAAAATCTTCCATTGAAAAGTACAGAGGCGAGCACCCACGATACATTGCATATACATGACTGCATCCACATAGATCGACTAGCCACAGTGTTATAATTGAAATATATTTTTATGTCCAAATTAAGAGATAAGTAAAACGTATAATGGTTTTCGGTTTGTTTTCTCATTCATACTCGCTTTAATTGATAACGAGACATACATGAGAAATACCTGGGTCGGTAAATGCATGTCATATGCATAATATATTAAGTGTCAAACTATGAGGTAAATATCACTTTTGAACATCAAAATCTCACATAAACTTTGTGCTAAAAGATCCGATGTTATCAGACATCGGACCCGATGTGATCGATGAGTAATATTATTAAAGATCCGAAAATATCTTGAGTAAAGGATCTCAGAATCCGAACATTAATTACTTGAGTAAAATCAGTTGAGATCCGATGACATCGTCGAGTTTATGACGTGCTGATGATGAAATAGAGTTTTCGAACCTTGATTTAATTGCCTTTATTAGAAGGGTTCCTCGTTAGTAATATTATTGTAACATTTTGACCCAGACTGACACGACAGAAATTAGGCTACCAACACTGGAGGATAGGAATAGCGCGAAATTGCATTTAAATCAATTATTTTTCATATGTATGGAAAAAAAATGAATATGTTTCAAGTTCCTAATCTCTACTGGTCAATCTTTTTCATTTTAGTAGCCGTTCTACTGATATGTTATCTTATTCAAAATTGAGAGCGAATGAGCATAACGGGTCTTTTAACTTTGCACATTTTAGACCACTCAAAATAAATAACTTTTTCATAAAATAACACGTACCAAAGTCATTGGATTATGAGCATAGTCAAATAGAAGTGATGCTATCATCAACAATGAAAATTATGGTGATTGGAGTGAAAGCATGAATTCAATGTTTTAAAGAACTTTGCGGGACACAGACGTTGACGTATAGTGCTGCGGGAATTATATTATATTATCAGAAATTTTTGTGATATACTTAATGTTATTATATGATCATCCGAAAACTTACTCACTACCTCATCGGGCTTTACTCACGGTATAATCGGAATACTCAGGCGGTAGCCTCGGGTCCTAAAAAATCGTACTCTTGGTATAATCGGGTCTTTCATTTTCAAACTTTCATCGGTGGTTTCAATGATATATAACGTATGGCAGTGAAACAAATGTGATATATTTGCACCTATTGTATCTTTGAATCAAATGGAGTAAATACAGCCATGGTTCTTACTTATTTAAGATGTAAAACATCATTCTAATATTTAGAAATTGAATTTAGCGATTTGATAGTAAATATTGCATTAAGTACTCATTATTCTCTAAACATGAGTGCCTGGAACAACAACTATATCGGTTACAAATACAAAACAATTCTGTGTTTTATCTATTTCTCATATTGAGAAATTCAATATACAAACAGGAGTTTATTAACTTATCCCCTACATTTTCATACATCTTCGGGTCTTTGCTCGGCGGTAGGTTGTATATACGCGGGTAGACTTCCCCCCGTGGCTCTGCTATTTAGTTATCAAATCCTCGACATGACCTTTGACCCCGTTATTAAATGTACAACGTGCACCACGTTATAGGCCATTGTACATATGATCAAAATGTTTTCATGCACTTTTATGCATCCGATTTCATTCAAAACTTACGTCAATATTTTAAACAGACATTGTTACCTCCAAAACAAATACGTGTCACCTGGAACATATAGAAATAGATGCGAATGGTCTTGATTGTACATTGTATCGCTCAGACGCTGAAACTCATGTGAGAAAAACGTCTACCTTGTTAATTCTCGAATGCAAAGGTTAAAGCCAGTTTTATCCAAAATCGTCAAAACGAAACTAAACTATTTCAAAAACATTTGAACTATTTGATGTTTGAAATTCTCAAGCGTGATATCTATATCGAAGAAAATCTAAGCGCACACTCGTGAGAGTAATCCTTATAAAACGGTGTCGTTTGTGCAAAGTTACCTTGACTTACAGCTTGAGTTCCTGCTGATGAAACCTTGATAAGTCCGAGTCCCTGGTACAATAAAAAGAGTAATGGAAGTGCCGCCATTTCGTACCACTACCTGGCCCGAAGCTTTCTGACCCGAAGGGACGTATCATAGTGTTTCGATTGCTCTTAAAGACAAGCACAAAGAAAAGGTAACCTTTCACAGCCCGGGTCTTAGTTAAATCAATCCAAATCAACCGTGTAGACATTTTTTGAACAACACGCTTGATAATGTTTATAGAGAGAAAAATTGAAATTTTTCACTTTTTCTGAGCTATCAGGGGGACGTTTGGCTGAAAGCAAGTGTGGTGCGAATCTATATACAGTGCGCGTTTGTCCGTATACTCGGGGACTATAAATAGGACCAACCAAAGTTTGGCTCAGATAGGTCACACTACCCTACCTCGATCGTGCTTGCGCGAGATTTTTGGCTTTCAGCCAGGTCGCTTTTGAGTATATTGACTGCTTAGTCAACAAGTTGGTACGTTTGGTGCTCGGAGTGAGTAAATAGAGAGGTTAAGCTACACGTATGTGAACCTGAGTTAGTCCACGCATACGTGGTCACGTGGTAGAGTAGTGTGAGGTGTACACATGCTAAACAATAATCCATGTGTTTGCAAGTCTAGCTATGTAATGATATTGTATATTTGGATGAAAACGTGAAGCATTATAGGGCAGACAAAATATCAACATGTGGATGATAATTTCACACTTTTTATAAAACTGCCATCATGTTGCTAAAGTACACTATAATATTTGTTTATTTATGCGTTATAACAAACGCGCCTACAACCAAAAAGTAAAGAACAGATATATTCCTTCAGCAAACGAACCCGCGACCTGCCCGAGGCGACAACTCAGCCAACAGACCAACTGATCATCAATTAAGAGAACGGAAGCAACGAGACAGTCAAGTCGCACGTATTTAGGAAAAATGAGAATTATTTTGTATGGCACGATATGTTCAATACATACACCCCTTTAAAAAGAATAAACCCTTCTAATTCGAAAATGTAAACATTGGTCAACGTTGGTAATTTTTATCGTACCTTGCGCGCAGAATCTCGTTGTAAACAACCGGTGAGTTAGAGATTCATTGAAAACTGAAAGGGTGAAGACGAAGCTCTCTTTTGAGAAGCGAAGTCCAACGAATGCAAAGGGTAATTTTATCGAGTCCTTTTAACATCTTCTTGTCGGACACTTTATAAACATTGGTTTTTTGCTTAACTTCTATTACACGATGCCCATGTCAAGCAGCGTGCCTACTAGGCACGCAGTTTGATACTCTGACAAACTGCGCGCATATTTCAAAATGTGAGACGGGGAGGACACGACTCCCAAAAAGAGCCAAAATACGAAAAATACAAGGTTAGTCTCGTTCTAAAGATAGTACCATTCTGTGAAGATGAACTTAATTTACTCATAGTACTCAATGTTTTTTCCCCGATGTAAACCTTGTTATCTCAATATAAGGGTCTTAACTAACTTCTGTGTTCAAAATTTACAGTGTAAAGTTATATCTATGTCTTTTTATCGTCATTTGCCGTTTATTCAGCCATTGTGTCTGTGTATGCTTGAATATATAGGATCACTCCATCTGATTAAAGCAGCAAAGTTTGTGTTCAAAACGATAATACGCCATAAACGTGATTTAAACATTTTTCTTGTCAAACTGCGCGCCTATATTCACATGTATTTCCCAAACTGCTTGCCTATCCAAGCTTGTTTTGTATTATTAGAAAACATAAGCGCCATACAAGGCACATATGTGTCTAATAGTAGAACCCCATAATTGGAACACTATGAGAGTCCATCCACCAAGATGGTGATCTGAAAATAAAAGTTCTTTTCGTTCCCAACTTAATTGTCACTTCTATTATACATTTTGACTTTCAATATGAAAATCTCATAAAATCTGACGATAAAGCAAAATTTCCAAAGCTACATGAAAAACACCTACACGTGCCTCTGTAGAAATTCCAATGATACTATGTAGTTTTAATAGTGTATGCGCACAGTTTGTAATTTCTGGCTAAAATAGGCGCGCAGTTTGTGGTTTATTTCTTTTTAATCTCCTGATTATCTGTTTTATCTCGAAATATTTTGAATTATACATGATAAATGTGTAAGGAATTAAATATAAAACGAGTCTAAAGTATGTGTCATTTATGTTTAAAGTGCTAGATCGATTTACGTATAAATTCCCGTTAAATCAGTGACGAAAATGCCATTAATCTGCTTATGTTTTAAAACTTAGATTCATTTGCACATAGTTTTTGCTAGTATTTGCAAGATTCGTATATTCGCCACAGAATGAACGCATTGAACAAGAAAACAATGCAGGATAAATGTCTTTAAATTACGTTTCAAAATACAGACTCCAACTTAAATGATGCAATGTTCTTAGGCACGCAGTTTGTGATCGAAACAAACTGCGCGCCTAAGTAGGCGCGCAGCTTGACACGGGACACGCGACATTTCAAGACGTCTTAGCTAAAACGTTTTAGCAAAATCATGTTGAGTTACACCACCATTTTCAAGACGTCTTACGAAATATGATTGAGTTTACACCTGTTTTTCTAAAACGTCTTAGAAATATGTAGGTATACATGTAAAATGAAAAAAAAACAGTCCAGGACTGGTTGAAGGTCGGTTCAGTCAATATAGCTATTCCTTTCCCGCTTCTATACTTTGTACTAAGGAATATGTCCTATGCATACATTAGGATTATGATAAATCGCCAGGCAAATAAGTTCTTCTCAATAATTTTGGGATGAAATTGGGAACAAGGGAAGGACCATGCGACATATGTAAATGGAAAGTTTCAAATGTTTCGTTCGGCGCAACGCAAAAACCGGGCTAAGAGCTCTTAGCTAAAACCGATGGATTTACACTCGCTTGTAAAACGTTTTAACGCTAAGACGTCTTGACTATGACTAGGGTCCTAAAACGTTTTAGCTAAACGCTTAGCCGAAAGAATAGAATATGAACTGGATAATGAACACTTAGATAATACGAAGTACTAAATAATACTAAGGTAGATAAAAACACGTAGTCTAAACTGTAACCCCAGACCGAATGAATCATTTGAGTTACTGACAGTACGATTTAATCCACAGATTACGGATATAAAAGCCATCCTACTCCAACTGCTCCGATCACATATAAAGACAAGTAGAATCTTCCCACTGTCCATACTACACGATACGTTTCCGTCGCAAGTTTTACACATATTGTACTTCCACAGACTTAAACGATTTCACAGTACCAGAACATCACAGTTTGTTTGTTTGTTTGTTTGTATCTTTATTTCCTCCAATTCTGAAGAGTACAATTTCTTATAAAAGAAAATAAATTAGCAAAAAGTTATATACATTATATACATATAAGGAACATTATCAGTAATCACATCACATCCAGAGCACCCCCTATTAAACGGCCGGACGCCAGGCTACCGCGTTGACCCGTAACCGCAACAGGCCCAATGCTCTGTAGTTATTTTGACTATTTGAGATACGCAAATTACATTCTGCTTTCACATGTATACATTTTATGAACATTCTTCGCAATTAATATGTACTGATCAGGTGCCAATTGTTCATTTTCACCAAATATTAGTCTTAGAATTTGCTCATTACTTTGATTCAATATCAGCGAGTGATTTTTAACTATATCTAGAATGATTTTTCGTTCGGCTGAGAAATATTTACATTTTAACATGAAATGTTCCAAGGTCTCATCCTCTTCACCACAAGCTTTACATAGTCGCCCGTTATGCCTGTCTTTCATGTCGCCCCATTTGCCTGTGATAGCACATAGATTACTCCCTCCAGTTAGTAGGATCATCATTGTCTTACATATGCGAATATATTGGCATTCGCGAAATGCAATTTTCCACCACACTATTGGTGTGTCAAAGCGTATTACATTCCTATATAGGGAAGCGTTGTGATTGAACATACATTGTATTTTCCACTGCCACATTGCATATTCTCTTGTATTATCTGACACCATCTTCTTCCATTCGCATTTACTTGGTACCATTCCTGTATCTATCATATCATATATTTTGTGCTGAATGCCTAGACGTTCAGCTACTCTCATGCAATCACCAATAGGGGACACTAAAGCTAGATCACGTGTTCTGTACGCTATGATTCTCATTATCGCGATCATCTTATATACATTGTTCATTGGTAGAGATAACAATTGCCACACTAACATGATTTTGTCTACTACGATCTTTGACGTTACGTCTCTCCAACCAAGTTGTTGTATGGTTGCCTGGTTGCTGGTCGTGATAGGAAGCCCTTGTATCTTCTTTGCTATTCCCCTGTGTGCTGTCTCTAGCCTGTCGTAGTCAGTATCTTTAAGAGGCAAAAGACTCATTCCATACGTCATAGTGGGGAAACATATTGACCAGTAAATCTTTGACGCTGTTAGAGGATTTGTTGGATTGTTATTGCTGGCTGTAGTTCCTAAATAGGCAATCATTGCTCGTCTTCCTTTCGAGATACGTGTGTCCATGTATTCTTTTACTGAATTGCTATTTGTAAGTGGCAGCCCAACATGATCTATTGAATTCTCGATGGGAATAATGTGATTCCCTAATTTCAGAATTGGGTTTGGGGGGTTTCTCTCTCTACTAAACACAACGGCCTTACATTTCTTTGGGTGAACTGAAATCTCCATTTGCAGCTATAATCAAAAACTTTACGCAGTAGAACCTGCATTGTATTACCATGATATGCTAATAAGTTCATGTCATCAGCAAACGTGGGGCAGCTACATACAACATTTCCTATAGAACATCCAGTCATACTATCACATATCTCATTTAGGAGTTCATTGGTGTACCTTGCGTATAATTCCATTGACCAAACACCACCTTGGTGCACACCCTGCTCCACAGGAAACAGATCTGAAATATTTGCATTTTCACTTAGAAACCGAGATATTGCTTGGGGAATATTTAAATCCTCTTTAACTGCTTTAAACATTGAGTCTATGTTCACATTCAATTTAATAGCACATTTATATCTATCATAACAATTTCTTAGCATTCTCC